TCCTGCACCGCCCTGCCCACCTGGTGCCGGGATGTGTGGGGAAAGCTCCGTGAATCCTGAGTGCAGAGCAAAATGCTGCATCTGCCCGAAGGCGAAGGAGCCAGTCACCAGAGGGCCCGGGATTAAACCTTTCAGAACTGACCTGTCATCAGTGTCACTGCATCACCTTCTGGGCGGGCACCGGGGCAGGGAGAAGGCAGCCTCTGCACAAAATTGTGCCCCACCTCCCCCAGCCCCCACCCTGCCCTGCAGCTGCTTGGTGATAAGACAGGGACGGTTGGACTGAGGGGCCTGGCAGGAGGGAAGCACCCAGCTTTTATGTCTTAGGAGTCTTTCCAGAACCAGCCCCACAGTCCTCGCTGCTCTCCATTTGTGGCGCTCCTTTGGTGCAGGTGGCATGGGGGGCTAAGTCCTCTGTCCTTCAGGCCTAGCTTACCCAACACCTCCACCTGGAAGCCCACCCTGAGGACACCCCTTTCCTGTCCTGCAGACTCCTGCTTGTGGCCTGTCTTCCGCCTGGACCCAGAGTCCCTCCCCGTGTCCCCCCATGCACCGTGCCCTCTGACACATCTGTTCTCAGCGGGCAGGGGTAGGACAGGGGCTAGGGTCTCATCTCCCAGCTGGCTGATGTTTGTGAATCACAACAGGGTCCTTGACCCCAAAGGCAGACAGAGGGTGAAATTGACAGTCACCACCAATTCCCCAGGGAGAGCCTTGGGACCCTCAGAGAAGCGCTGGGCCATTGATGGGGGTTTCTTCTCACTGTTGGCAGGTGGACGCCTGTTTTGTTGGCTGACCACACTACTGACCTATTTGGTGATTCCCATCGATACCTTTTGCTTTCCTTGCACTGGAGCTTCTCCCGTCTGGTCTACATTTCCACAGATTTTGTCTCTTTAGGTGGCTTACCCGTACTTTTCCCAGAATCTCTTTGTTTCTGTTTATCCTGCTGGGTAAAGCCAGGGGGTACGGGCGTGGTAGGAAAAATTTCCATCCAGACCAGGAGAAGCCGGTGTGAGAGCTCCCAGCTTTGTGGATCTGGAGGAGCTTTCCTTCACTCAGGAGCTGGTGACCGTCCTCTACCTCGTGTGGGAGGGCGATACTGGTCATTGATTGTTTATCATGCTCACGGCCAGTGCTGGGGAGCAGAGGCGTAGGGGGTACTGTGGAGAGAAGATCGCCCTGGGACTTCAGGGAAGTCGGGGTGCAGGCCTGAACAGGGCCTTTCCCAGTCCACACTCGCCCTGGTAATATCAACTACAGACCCGAACTCCCCTCCTCTCTCTTTGAATCCCAAGTCTCTATCCCCCTATTTACAAACAGCCTCCAGGCCCCCTGACTCCTGGTCTTGCCTTCAGTATAGGTGAAAGGACACTATCTAAGCTGGCCTTGGGAGGGATGATGGCAGGATAGGTCCCCTGGAAGGAAGGAGCCTGCTGATGAAGGGCCTGGAGGGCAGAGCAATTGGCAAATGTAAACTGAGTCAGGTGGACTTAACACCACTCTCAGTGTTCCCCTTGGGAGTCGCCTCAGAGCTCGGATTCCCAATAATTGGGAGAGGCGAAGGAGTCCCCACACAGGAATCTTCTGACTCCCCCCAGACACCTCCCCATGGGGTCAGAGTGGGGGATCCTGTGCAGATTTCTGGGCTCCCTGTCCTGGGCAGAGATGTGAGCTGGTGTTCACCCTCACTGGGCCCTGACACTTTCACCAGGACCTGACTCTGCCCTTGGTGGACCCAGAGCTGCTCCAGCAGGGCCTGGTGGCAGGACGGGAAGAGAGAGACAGGAAGGGAGAGAGGGGCTCCATTTATTAGTGTGTGTCTTTGACTAAAGTCTGTGTCCCTGGATGTTCCTGCCTCAGTGCTGGCCGTGCTCATGGTAACTGTCAGCATCTGTTTGATGCATGAATGAATGAATGAGTGGGTGGGTGAGTGAGCAGGTTAAGGAAGCTGCTCCTCTGACTTGCTGGGAGCTGAGTCCTCCCTACAAGGGGGTGGGAGGACTAGAGGAGCTGGCAGAAGCCCCTCCGTGCTTCCTCCTGCTACCCCTACCTCTCAGTCCCCCGCCTCCCTCTCAGCCCCGTTCTCTGGGGTCTCTGGGAGGCTCCAGTGTGTCGGGGTCTTGGTCTTTCTCCTCTGACCTCCCTCTCTGTGCTTCCTCCTGCCCCCTGGTGCTTATGTCTCCTTGACTTCACCTTGATGGTGTTTCCCTTCTCTGCAGTAGCTCATCCTTAACCCGCCTCTGCACACACACACACACACACACACACACACACACACACACCCTTAGAGCTGACTGTTGAGCCCCTTCCTGAGCACACAGTCGCTACGCTGGTCAGTCCCCACAGCACATGCCCTCCTGGCATGGCAGTGACCCCTGACTGCTGGAAGAGGTCAGCGGGTGTAAACACTTCCAGCAGCAGAACCAGGGCTGCAGTCCTGGTGGCCTTGGGAGAGCAGCAGAGGGCTCCGAGCTCACAGCAGCTGGGACGAGTCTCATCCGGTGTGGCCATCTTTTCTTTTCCTCCCTGGAGAGATGATTTTGCCCACCTGACCAAAGTGGCAGGACGGCTGAGTGTTGGGTGCACAGCCTGTGTCTGTGGCCGGAGTCCTCTATTTCTTGAGAGTTCAAGGCACAAACTCCTGTCACATGTGCCTTCAGGGTGCACACCATGCCCTCAGAGCTGTTGGGAATCTGACTCTGGGTCTGAGGGGCCGCATTACCAGATGTGTGTGTGGGAAGTCCTCTGAGGGTCACGTCTTGACTTGTTACTGGAAGAAGGTCTGCTTGTGGGGTCTCTGACACAGTACAATGGAGTCCCAGAGAAATAGCCAGAGAATCTGGGCAATTCCTCTGTACTGACCTTAGTTATCCAAATCCTGCAGCGAAAACGCTGGACAATTGTGGATGTGGAGCTCCTTCAGCCCTGCACAAGCAATGGGCACGCAGTACAAATCTCAAGAACATGCTAGAGGACTCCTTTCCCCCTTTTGTGACCGAGGCTCAATGTTTGAAAGAAGACTTTCTCATTTCTTTGCATTGTTTGTGTTTCCTTCTGTGGAGGCAAATGCATTTTCTTCAACTTTCAGTTTCTGAGATATCATAGGTTTTTCTCTTCTTGATGTTTTTGAAGTTAATTTTAAATCCTGGGTCCCCCCAAGGTTTGGAGGGGAGAATTGCACATGTGGAGATCCTAGACCGCCTGAGATTTTCACGTGGTTACAGGTGAGACTTTGCCTCCTCACATGACAGTTGTGACAGCGAGCACTTAGAGTGCTCCCCATGTGCCAGGCACTCAGGCCCAACCCCATGAGGTGGGCACTGTGTTATCAGTATGTTTCAGGTAGGGAACAGAGAGGTTAAGTAACTTGTCCAGGGACAACAGGCCACTGAGCTAGTAAGTAAGTGCTGACTCAAACTCGGTAACTCTGGCTCTAAAGTCTACACCCTTAACTGCCCTCACCAGCCTCCTGTGGATTAATACAAAAAGAAAAAGAGAGAACCTTCTCTGAGTTTACATGAGACCTTCTGCCAAGACTATCTCCTGAGGAAATTTTTTTCACAAAAATCATATGATCAGGGAGAACAGGGATGTAAACTCTTTTAAGTCTTTGGAAATTTTTCGTCTTGTTTTGCATATTATCCTTGGTTCTTAGAGAACCTCAACTCTGCTCAGTGTCCAAAACTGGGCTGAAGTAAAGACGAGTGGTTTCATGTCCTGAAACACCAGCGTGAGTGGGGCCTCAGGTCCCCAGCTCCACCTCATTTACAGACATTGAGGCTGTGTCCTGGCATCTAGAGGACACCCAAGGTTGAGCGAGTCTCATATTCAAGGTAAGACAGGGATTGAAGCTTAGGGAGAGGAGAGGAGAGGAGAGGAGAGGAGAGGAGAGGAGAGGAGAGGAGAGGGAACTTTGCATCCAGATCCAGGCAGGACCTGGAGAGGCGTGTGGGCGGTGTTGCTGGAGAGCCGGGCAGGGCCTGGGGACAGCAGGCGTTTCTTCTTCTGTCTGACGGGAGTTACCAGAACTTCATCCACAGGCTCGAGTTGTGGAAACACATTCCCAGGCCTTTGGCAAAGAGCCCAGGATGTCTGTCCCTTGTCCTTAACTCTGCTTCTCTCCAGCCTAGTCAGACCCTGGGCCTGAGACCTGGGCACTGGTGTTTTTCCAGGTGTCTCGGGTCATCCTAGTGTAGATTGAGGGCTGAGAGCCACAGAGCTTTAGCCCAGGCCCCACCCCCATTTCCCAGCTTGGAGACCTGGGGCCCAGAGAGAGGGATCAACCCTGGTGACTCTCAGGCCACCTGACCTAGAGATCTTTGTCTGAGACCACCGTAGCCAGCTGCACCCTCTGTGATATGGAGGACAGTGACCTGGGACAGGCAGGGGGTGGTGGGAAGTCCGGCCTGTACTGTGGACAGAGATGAAGGGAAACTGAGGCCGTGTCTCCACCTGTGTGCCTGACGTTGTCAAGATTGTCGCCTATGAGCATCTGTCACCTGGAAGCTGGAGCCGCTTAGAGTTTTCTGTAAGAAGGGAAATGCTTGACCCCTCACCTACCCCTTTGCTCTTGACAGTATCTGTCCAGTGGGGTCCTGAGGCTAGGATGGGTGGACTGCTCCCTGCCCAGGAGGCCTTCTCTCCCGGGGGTGGGCGCAGCGCCCGCGCTCTGCTGCTCTCTGCACACTGAGTGGGGGAACGCGGCAGGCACGGGCTGTGTCCACGATTCACGCTGAGTCCCGGCGTTCCCCTGAGCGGGGCCTCGGAGGCCTTCACACCGGCCCCGCGGCCAGTGCTGTCTCCAGCTCTCCCTCCCTCGAGCCCCGTCTCCTGCCACTCCTTGTCCCCCACCTCGTGCGCGGCTCCCCGGCCTTCTGAGCCCTCACTGTGCTTCAGCTCCTCTGGACGCGGCGTGCACTCTCTCCTCCCCCGGAGAGCTCCTTCCTGACCCTTTGGCCAGGTCAACCAGCTACGGCCACCTCTCCCCTCCAGACCCGATGGGGCCGTGCCCCAGTCCAGGCTGCTTTGCGCACTCATGTCTGGGCATCATCCAGCACTGTAAGTGGCTGCCTCTGCGTCTGTCTCCACCAGGCTGTCGGCTCCTGGGTGGGCAGTGTCTCACCCCAGTTGTTGGGTGGTGCTGGGCATGGTGTCAGAAGCTTCACACTCACATGCGTAGTTTCAGCCAGTTTTCACCAGCCCGTGATGTGGGGAGACAGCTGCAAATTGCCATTTACAGATGAGGGAGCTGAGGCCCAAGAGGCTGAGTCACATGCTCCAGCCTCCTCCAGCACATTCAGAGGAGAGCCCCTCTCAAGGGCTCACGTGCGCCCCCAGCCCGTGCAGACGCTGTGTGGTGCAGGTGCTGCGGGAGCTGGCGTGTGCCGGGAGGACTGGAGCCTGCACACCTGCACAGCCGTCACAGCTGTTACCCCTTCCGACATGCATCTGCACTGGAATTCTCACAGCAGCAGGGCCTGTGTCCAGGGCACTGTCACAGACGTCTAGTGGGGAACACACTCTCTCTATTCTCAGCCTCGTCTTTTTTCCTTCTCCCCCCGTCCTCTCTCAGGGTTGTTCTGCACCCACCTCATCCCCCTCCCAGATGGTCCCCTGTGCAGGTCGACCTGCATTTCTCCTCTGGGCACCTGTGGGGCAGGGCTGTGAGGGGTAGAGAGCAGGCCCACTGCCCATCTCCTGGGAGCAAACCCCTGGGTTTAATCATTTCATCTGTGCTGAGGACATTCCCTTCACAGGATGTGTCACATAAAATATGTTTCTGTGATAGAACGGGGCTGGTGGCATGTTTCCTGTGAGAATGTCCCTGGGACCAGGGGTTCCTCAGCTCTTTCCTGTTGGAGGCTCCAGAGAGATGAGACACATTCATTCAGTGTCCCCCAAATGGTGGGTCAGAATGGCCAGTCGGGTGTGCTGTGAGGGTAGAGATATTTTGTAAAAATCTCCTTGAGAGAGAATTTCTCACCTTGAAAGACATTACGCTAAATGAAAGAAGCCCGTCACCCAAGTCCACATTTTATTATGTGATTCAACTCGTGTGAAAGTTGAGAACAGGGGGCTCTATAGAGACAGGAAGTAGATCCGTGGTCCCTTAGGGATGGGACGGGGGAGGGGAGCTATAGCTAAAGGGCTCAGGGTTCCTTTGTGACGAAAATGAGGTTATGAAAATGTCCTAAAATTGGCTCTGGAGATTATAGTTGCACATATCTGTGAATATTCTAAAACCAGTGAATTGTCACTTTAAATGGGTGAGCTGTGTAGTATGTGAATTATCTCTCGTTAAAGCTGTCTAAAAGAGAGAGAGAATTTCTCTCCACCGTCTTACCATGAAACTTAGTGGTATATATAAACCATACAAAGAAGAAAAGTCAGCATGATTTTATAAGACCCTTTGCAAGGTGGTCCATCCAGAGGGGGGACAGGGTCCTGAGGTACCAGGGGGCAGGGCTGGGATGGGGCACAGGGGCTTTGCTCCTGTGGACAGAGATTCTGCCATAGACCCCGGGAAGCTGCATAAGAGTGTGTGTGTGTGTGTGTGTGTGTGTGTTTGTGTGTGTGTGAGAGAGAGAGAGAGAGCGAGCATTCCTAGGGAACTGGAACACAGTCTTCATCACACTGTGAGAGCACACGCCCACAGCAGGTGGAGAGTCGGGATTGACCTGGAAGCTTCCCTCTGCACTGGGTGCCGGAAGCTCAGCCCAGAGCTGGGGCCACACTCGCTAGTGCACACTCAGGACTCCGTAGCGACACTCAGTGTGGTGACTGCGCTCTGACTTCCCTCACTTTTCCTGCCTGAGCCACACGGGAGGAATCGAGCTGAAGGAGGTGCAGTGAGCTGAGTCTCAGACCAGGCTCTGAGAGCCGCCTTCTCAGATTTTACCATTTCCAGGGACCACCTGTGCATTCATTTATCTCCTACCTATTTAGCAGTTAATTTTTTCTAAAGTAACTATATTATTACCTTAAAAATAAAACACTGCCCTTCTCCGGATCACCTTTGCCTGCCCGTTCTTGGAGCTCCTGTTCTAGGGGAGTCCAGATACCTGGCTCCACCCTGAGCCCTTCTCCCTGCCTTAGTCAGAAAAACTGAGGACAGTGACAAAGAGAACCGTTTTCCTGATGTGTCATTCAGTGTCCCTCAATGCCATGTCCATTGGCCTCATGCAAGCATCTCCAGCCCGCTGGGTCCCATTCGGGATTCCATAAGGGAGGGCTCCCCTCCACGTGCAAGGCCAGCTGTTCCTTTGGGATTTGGTCCATCAGTCACGTGTTTAGGCACAGCCCTCTCACAAGAGACCCTGAGGGCCAGGTAACCAACTCGGACATTGACACATGCTGGACAGGCCTTCCCTGTGTCCCACACCCCAGATCAGCTGTGAGCAGGGGGACCCTCACCCCCTCCCTCACCTGGTCAGGGGCAGTGCCATTTTGTAACTAACCACATACACTGTCTTGTACTGAATGCTGCAAAGGAGAATGCAGGGCTCCCTGAGAGCACGTGAACGGAGACCTAACTCAGATTGGTCCTCTTTGGATGGTCACCAGTTGACCAGGGAAAGGATGCTTAGGAGATGTGTGTCCCAGGCCCTTGCCACTGACCACAAGATGGGCATGCCTTATCCTCCTCTTCTCCATGCCACACTCTCATGCCTCCTAAATCCAAGACCATCTCAGCCATTGACACGCTCATGTCCCTTTGTCAGTGCCCGTTATGGAAAAGGCCAAGTAATCTCTTTGATCTTAAAGGCAACTATGGATGAGATCTTCACACACATCTTAGTCTATGGCAGCCTGAGGATTTGTATTTAACTGATTAGCTCCAATTACTGTAAGTTGTAAAGTGTGTCCCACTGGCTCTGTCAGGTGCCTTCCTTCAGGCAATCTCAGATTGGTCAGTAGAGGAAGTCGTCTGCTCAGAGATGCCCAGATCTGATTCGTGAGGCCCAACTCACTTTTGATAACTCCAGATTCTTCATTGCACTGACTTTTCTACCCAGATGTGATTCTCTCCTGATGCTTCTCAGCTAAGAGGCTCAGAGAACACCTGTGAGGACAGTGATATCTCTCACACAGCAGGTGAGCAGCAGGTACAGGGAGACGAGGTCAAGGTACCACTTGAGTTCACGCCACAGGGGATGTAGGACTGGGGGGCAGCCCATCCTCAGCCCCCAGATGCTCAGGAGCATGGTGCCCAGGGTCACAGTACCTTGGAACCTCTGGCTGCAAGGTCATCTCCAGCCATGTCCCAGCCCACTCCCAGCACAGTCCTTACCCGGGTGGGGACAGTGGATGAGGCTGAGCTGATGTCACTGGGATGAAGAGGGACAAGGAGAAGGGGAGAGAAGTGCAGAGAATCCCAGCTTGGGGTGTGCTTGTTCACAGGGGGAGCGGGACTGTGGCACTGAGGGGTGTCATGACCCCACGTCTGTCCCTACTCTCCCCTTTGATTGGGGCTCACTGACCCTGTGAGCATCAACTGGGATGTCTTCTGGGTAATGATGGGGGAGTGCTTCTCTCATGCCCATCCTCGGTCACCCGAGGAGACTGGGCTGACCTGGGCCCTCTCTCGAGCCCCAGCTCCAGCACTCAGAGCACTTCTTTGATGTGGGGACTTAAGGCATCAAATTTTTAAAAACTGTGCTAGTAACATAGTGTGCCTACTGTATTTTGCCAATAAAGACCAAAAGAATCTTCCGATCACTACCATTTCATAAAAGGAAGGATATTTTTATAGCAAAAATACTAGGAAGGATATAATCTCAGAATCAGCCTCCTAATGATGATACTGGATGGCATCAGTCATTTCTTGGGAAGATGAGTTACTCAACTTCCACGGGCCTCAGTTTCCCCATCAGACAAATAGGTCAATACCTTGTTCATAGGGTGGTGTGAGGATTAACTGAGTTAATATTTGTAAAGTGCTTAGGACAGTGCCTGGCATATAAATGTGATCTATGTGCTTATTAAATAAAAAATTAAAATTATATTTAAAAACTGAATAAAAGCAGGCAAGCAGAGGATTGAGAAAGACTGAGATTGGAGATCCAGGCTAGAGCCTTGGGGGATGAAAGAGTCATTTTTTTTTTTTTTTGCATTTTCATATGAATTTTTTTTAAATTTTTTGTTTATTGCAGTAACATTGGTTTATAACATTGTATAAATTTCAGGTGTACATCATTATA